GACCCTAAAAAGATGAGATTTTTTTTTTTCTCTCTTTTTCTTAAATAGAATGCCCCTTCGAATATAACGCCCGGGTGTTATATTTGAATGATCCATGGGCAGAGTGCCTTGTAGAGGTAGTATACATGGGTTTGAAAAGGTGTGGAGGGGAATATACGTGGGTTTTAAAGGGGGTTTGACCTAGCTTTCCACCCCGGGCGCCCGGGCCACCCCAGGTCGCCCGGAAGGGCGCTCGGGGGCCCCGGCCATGCGACCCCCCCTGCCAGGCACCCGGGCCCCCTCAGCGCCGCCCCCAAAAGCCGCCGAAAAAAATTCTCTTGTGCCAGGGGCCTATGGCCCAGAGGGCCAGAGGTAAAAAAAAAAACTGGTGGTGGCCGCAAAATTTTTCGGGGTCCTGTAGGCCCTCATGTTTTTTTTTGTTTCCCCGCCTAGGTCGTTGATCTGCATTGATCGACGGCGCCGAAGTCCCGAGATTTTGATTTCGAATCTCGGGACTTCGCTCGCGGCTCTGCGCCCTCCGCCGGACGACTCCCCACGCTAGTTTGTCGTTGTCCTCGCCATCGTCGCCGTGCCGTGGTCGTCCTTGCCATCGTCGTCGTTGCCTTGCCGCCCTCCTGCCGCGCAATTGTCATCGCCCTCCAGTCGCACCATAATTGTGGCCCTCCATTCCACGCCATCATTATCTTCTTCTTCCTCCTCTTCTTACTCTCTTCAGTTCTTCGTTTCCTTCTTTTTATTCTTCTTTCGTCTTTCCTTCTTCTTCTTCTTCTTCTTCTTCTTCTTCTTCTTCTTCTTCTTCTTCTACTACTACTAGTACTGCTAGTACTTTTTCGACCTCTTCTTCTTCGTGCTTCGCCATAGCGCTTCTTCTTTCACCTCCTTGATCCGCCATAGCGGTTCCCTCTCTCCTCCCTATTCCTCCGTCAGTCTCCCTCCCTCCACGTAGTCTCCCTTTCTCCTTCCTCCACCATCTCCTCCCTCCGCATCAGCCGCCCTCCATCCACAGTCTCCCTCTTGCCCCCATCCTCCATCAGTAAACCTCCCTCCGCGTACTCTACCTCTCTCCTCCTCCGCCATAGCTCCATCTCTCTTCCTCCACATCCATCGCCCTTCCTCTGCCATAGTCTCCCTCCCCCCTCCTCCTCCTTATCAGTCTCCCTCCCTCCTCCTCCATAGTCTCCCCCCCCTCTCCTGCAAAACGTACAACCCCTAATCTACCCGGCTCCTGCATCCCCTTCCCCTACCCCCCCCCCGACACACTGAAACTGATATGCCTGAAAAAAAACAATGAGGCCGGATTTGGGAAGTATTAGGAGAGCGCAGCAAGGCCCCACAGACCCAAAAAAAAAAAAAAACATTTCAGTGGATTTTTTTCATGCCCGGGGTACCGGGCGAGGTCCGTACCCGGCCGAGCGCCCCAGGAAAGCTAGGTTTTGACCTCCAAGGGGAATATTTTGGTTTGGTTTTTGTTTTTTTTTTTCCCGAGTTTATAAGGAATTCTGTACTGACCCTCAGCCAAAAGATGGTTGCAGTGCAATTCTGGACAACATTTTTTTACGGAATTAAAAAAAAAAAATCCCGGAATTTTGGGCCCCCACCGAAGTTGCCACCAATTTACTGATTATAATGCCTGGGTGTTATAAACGAATAAAATGCCCGGAAGGCGTTATTTTCGGGTGAAGACGGTAGCGGCCCATGAACTGTTGAAATACAGACCCAAGTTCGAATGTGCAAGGAACATGAGTATGGACGAAGCACAGAAATCCATAATGCAAAATCACACTGAAGTCCAAGTATTTAAAGCCAAATCAGATAGCACATGGAACCGAGTAACCATCCCATTGAGAATGATACAGAAGAATCGTGAGTCAATGTCCATGCCCACCAGGGCAACACCAACAGCATAACCCAAATGTAGCTCTCTATTGTGAATGGCGCCAGGCGCCCTATCTACTCTACAGCCTATCCTACAACTACAGCAATGAACAGCAACCAGACAACTCGACTACCAGCGAGTGATGATGTCAACACCAATGCAGACCTCCACCATCACCAGGTACGTGTCCTCTTCCCCACACTCTCCCTTGTTACCCACACAGCGCCCTTCTCCTCCGAAGTACCACCTTCGCCCTCACCTACCCTGCACCCTCATGCGGCCCGGCTATGGCCGCCAGTGCCCTGCACGCAGGCAGCGCCCTACCGCCTAGCGCTGGCCTGCCCTGTCTTAGTGCAGCACTGCTCTGCATAGCGCTGCACACTTGCATCTGCGCAGCGTGCCCGCATATGCCAGCATTGGCCAAGATCCCCGCTGCCTCGCCCTGCTTGCCTATATGCCAGTGCAGCATGTGGGCGGCCTCCCTTCAGCCTGTGACCGGGGCCCAGAGGCTGAAGCCAACTCGATACAGTTGGGCCCCGGGGCAATGCAGTTGCGCCTCCTTCATCAAGGCCTGCGGCCAGATTCAGACAGTGGACCGATTTCCCTTTGGCATTTTCGGCCTCTCTACCCAGCATGCATTGTCGGCCTAACGTTCAAGTGCCCAGGGCCTAACTAACTCAGAGGCCCTGGGCATTTCAGCATTTGCTGAAATCCGAGACTCGGTGCACTCCAACCAACTGGCGTGCTGCAACTGTATAGACCCCACTTCGTGAAATGTTGGCACAGAGGGCTCTTGTTGATTTGCTGGCCCACCTTCACTTAGGGCGGGCACTAGGCTTGCTGGGGCCTTAGCCCAGAACATGTACATCATGGCAAGGCCCCTACTTGAGGGCTCAATCCTCACAAATGCAGATGCTGTCAGATTAAGAAAATAACCTACTTCTGAATTACCTAGGGCCAGTCAGTTCAATGATGATATCTTAAACCACCAGTACTTGGCCCATACATCGGCCACGGGTGTTTCCCGTTAACGCGCCGCGACCGATGGGCTTCGGGGTGCCGGAGTAAAATGGCTGGAGGCACCAGCAAAAATCTAAACGAAATGGCGCGTCGTCGGTTCAGCAAAACTTGGCGCGCAGGGTGTCTCCCGGCTCTGCATCGGTAGCTGGGTACTGGTGGTTAAGGCCATCAGCAGTAGATTGATTGGTGATTTGTTGTGTCCAACGTGTGTTTGGCAAAGAGAGAGGGGGCGAGAGGGAGAGGGAGAGGGAGAGGGAGCGACAGAGGCGGGGGACTTGTGTTGTCCTCTGTCCAGAATGCCGCTCTGTACACAACAAAGAAACAAATGGGAAGCAATACATGTGCTGCTCGCATCTGCCAGAAATGCTGTCCTTGGTTGGCAACCATTCTTGCCCCATTTTTCCCCTATGGGTGATGTCCTTCTTCGTCATCCTATGCGGGGACATCCTTTTATTGTTTCGATGTTGAATGTGTTGTTTTCTTGCTTTTGTGTGCTTGATAACAGGATGTATTAGTGCACATCTGCTACATTCAGAATAGGGACAAATGGACTTCTTGCAGCCTTGGTTGAAATGACTTATGATTGGGAAAGAGGTGCATGCTGGCCGCCAGGTTGACATGTGTCCATCCACAGTCCCAGGTGTATGTCTTCCATCTATGAACAGTGTAATTTCTGCTTGGATGGGTGATCTGATGCTTATGTGCGTTCATGTCTGGCGTCTATCAATGGTGTCGGCAATTGTTAAAGAACTTTTTTGGGTCGGTAACTTCGCCCTGCATTCAAGAATGTGTGTGCTGTGTGAGCGTGCAGCCCAGTCCACAACGTGTACTGGGTGTGTAGCAACTCATCTGCTGAATCTACCAGGCTCAATAAACAAATCACAGCAATGCACACAGTGCTGCACACGCATCACACCAGTATGTTTACGAGGAAAAAAGAAAGAAAGAAAGAAAACAATTTACTGCGCCATTTGGAGAGCACAACAGTCTGCCATGTTACACTAACAACGAGGAGAAATGGGAGAATTAGCACGACAGCAAGGAGGAAGGGTTAATCAGGAGGAGAACACAGAACGAATGGGAACAAGAGGTGACGGAGTTGGGTCATCGGGGTCCCGAGATCGACGTCTCTCTCTCTCTCTCTCTCTCTCTCTCTCTCTCTCTCTCTCTCTCTCTCTCTCTCTCTCTCTCTCTCTCTCTGCATCAGTCCGCCCCTTCATCCCCCAACCAGTCTGTCCTTCCGTTCGCCCGTCTGTCCATCCATACTGTTTTGGGCCCCTGTGCAGGGCTGGTCCCCAGGCGGTCCAGGCTGGCTTTGCCCTGGTACCACCAGGTGGAGCAACGTCCCAGGAGGGTCCCAGCCAGTCACTGTGTACAATGTTTCAAAACAAGAAAAAGTGAAAAAATGGCTTTGTGTCTGCTTGAAACTTCGTAGTAATTACGAAATGAAAATAGAACAGGAATCAAGAGTTGAGCTATACTGCTTTGAACCCCTTTAAACCACCGGTACATCCGAGCCGCTTTTTGCTGAGCCAGATTCCCCCTGCTCGCCAAAGCTTTGCTGAAACACCAATGTGATGTTTTCTTTTCTTTTGGCTGGTGCTGCCAGCCATTTGGTTCCGGTAGCACTGTTCATCCGAACTTTTCGGAATGACTCATGTCCGGTTCTCGAGTTTGCCTGGGCCATGTACTTTCGGTCTAAACCAGGTCTAAACCGGGTCTAAACCGTAGTTGAAGGTCGGGCCATGTACTTGCGGTTTAGACCCTGTTAGACCCTGTTTTTGCTCACACGTCACCAAATCGGAGGGCGGGCCGGGTTCCGACTGCTCAGGCCAAGTGCAATCTTGGTCTGAAGTCATAATTCTTCTTTTTTCAAATCCTGTTACCAACCCGGTTTTCCAGAGCGGGTGCCCCGCTACCTGCTACCCTGGGTGTGCCTGGCCAGCCACCTGCCCAGCGCTGCCCTTGTGAACAGTCTCAACGATTCCCAGTGCCGAGTTCTAGTGACTTCCTTTATTTTTGGTTTTCAATACAGGTCGTTTTGGTCGTGGCTCCTCTCTTATCTGGGACAACACTGGTGGTTTCTTATTGTGTGTTGTGGCAGTTATTTGCGAGCGGAGTGGCTGTCCAAAGAAGCCAAGAAAAAGGGTGACAGGACCTTCAACGAGAAGACATTCTCCGCAGGCAGAGTGCAAGTAATGATCACATCCGCAACTTAGCGCATTGTTTTGTTGATTTATGGATTCCTTAGGACATAACAATGTGATGCTATGTTTATGAATGGATGCCTTAAACCATCAGTCCGTCCAAGCCTCATTTTCCCGACACGGACTTCTGCTGCACGTCAATTCCTTCCAAACCAGAGTGGCACATGTTTTTCCAGGCGAAGCAAAGCCTTTTCCTTCCAGTAGGCCCGATCTGTTTATTTTACGGTGGTTTGACCGGCACATTGGAACAAAATATCTGGGAAACAAACTGATGGGTGAAGGGATTAGGGAAATACATCTTGCAAATTCTTATGGTGTACTGACAGCAGGTGCTGTTGTGGGCATGGCCTTAGTGTATTTCAACAGAACCTTGCTTTTGCTCCCCCAACTGCATCCAAGAGAGTCGTTAGATTCAATCTGGCCCTGAGTCCATCTCTCAAATACATCCCGCAGACACATAGGGTGATTCGGCCGAATCTGTCCATGATTTAGGAACATGTTCGGGATTGGACAGTGGCTTGCAAAAGTCCCAATGCTGTGGGGAACTGCTGGTGTTAGTCAATGGAATCTGGCTATGCTTACAGTGAAATACATTCAGGAGAGTTGTGTGATCCAACTGGATCCGGAGGTCACCGCACTCAAATACATCCTGGGAATGTGATGGGACTGGCTGTTACTATTGCATGGGTCCTGGAGACCATCTCACGCAAGTGTGTACATGCCATGCATCGTTCTCCCACACACA